AACTTGTTTAAATCGTATTTGGCACCACTTGTGGTTCTTCCCAATTCGCCTTTATCTATGCTCTCTTCCTTTTGTTTAATTTGATTCTTTCGTTATTTACAGCAACAACAACAAATTCTGACATCGCTCCTTCTTCTTTTGTTTGCTTTGCAGATTTGGATAACCCATTTAAGGAAGATGAACTTGAAAAAAGTACTGTGGTCCATATGGTGTTCCCATCTAAATCGCCMGTAAGTATTCTGGTCATGCAATGAATGTGTTGGTGTACATGGTAGTTTTAGGTATATTCTTTATAATCAAAGCTTTTATTTCGTGTTTGTGCAGGTTGTATGTGAATTTGTTGATAACATGATTGAAGATGAAGAATTATGTACGGAACAAAATTAAAGGATGATTTCACAGTAAGTGTTTGAGCTTTAACACAGTTTGTGAGTTTTGAGTCCCTATATAATTTTCTCTTATTATTTTTTCCACAGGAATTTGTCAAAGAGCAGGTTCGAGCCGCAAAGAAAGCCAGGCGAGAGGTCAAAAATTTTATTCGAATGAAACTATCATTACATTTAGTGAAAGTGTTTGCTAAAAAAGTAGAGTCTTATTTCTTGTAGGCAACAGCTGCTCGAATGAGAGCAATAGAAGAAATGAGCGAAGATGATCGGCAAGCCTTTGAAAGCATAAAGGTGTACAAATTCTACCCTCAGCCTCCACCAGACTTCTTAGGACTCATCAAGGTAAAGTAGAAAAGTAAAATCATATCTGTAACTCTTAACACAGAAGAGAAGCCTTTTGTTTGCTAAGCTCTCATCTTTGTTTGCAGGTGTCGTACATTAATCGATACTACGGGAAAGCTCATCTAGTCCTTTGATATGGAATCTTCAGAACAAACCGATTTTTATGTCTCATGTTGTTGTTAAATAACTATAATAGACTTTTTACTTAAAGAGTATAGCTTATGGTGATGCGTCAGAGATTTGTTTACGGTTTTCATAAATTAAGATGCGTAAAAGATGAATTGTTTCTTCTTTTTTCTTGGTCTTTACTCTTCACAGAGAGTTTTTATTTATCCCACATCGAAAAGGTTGAGAAGCTTTGGTCGTTTAGTTCGAGTATATAAAGGAAGCCAAGCCTGTCTTGCAAATCATACCTTTCTCGGCCTTTTGGCTAAGATCAAGTGTAGTATCTGTTCTTATCAGTTTAATATCTGATACGCACACGATATTAACTCTCTTTTTTTAGGGAGAAAAACCCATTAAGATAGCTTCCTATCAGGGTCTTTCACAAGTCGCCTATGTGTTGCACTACCGCATGGGCTTGGCTCAACCCATCAAACAATTAACCCAATTTTTACACAAATCTAATTATGTAAATCGCACCAAGACTTGTTAATTAACTTACAAGTGTAGATACTAAGACGTAACTCGTTTCATATCCCACATCGACTTTTATTTAGAACAATAAAACATGAGTATGTATGTCTTGAGAATTAGAAAGTTACAACAACATTCATTGGACATAAAGTGAATGAGTAATGGGATTGTCTAAGTTCCGGGCCACTTGTAACGAGAAAATTTGGTCTCGAAGGGACACAATAAGCTGAGACCGGTGTGTGGAGCTTTCGTGGTCTCTCTATGACAACATGGCCGATCATTTCACAACGAACAGTTATTCACTTTGTCCTTAATCAGACTAACATAACGAGG